AACCAAACCAAGCCTTAAGTCCCATCAAATGGGGTCGGCTACATGAATCCTTCTTCTCCACGCGGCCCTATCAAAGGGCATTTCATTAGTCAAATTAAATAGATTTATATCTCTATTTATAACGCTAGTCAACGTTAATCTAGACCTACCCCATCCCCTAGCACTTCCATCTACCGTTACAGCATTGCATCTCTTCACTACTGCTTCTGTTGGTCTCTGTTGAATATGACCAAACCATCTCAAACGATTCTCTCTCAACTTATCTTCTATCGATGCTACTCCTACTCATTCCTGAATACACTCATTCCTAATCCTTTCTTGTCTAGTCTTACCACACATCCACCTTAGCATCCTCATCTCAGCCACACTCATCTTATCTACATGTTGTTTATTGATTGCCCAACACTCCGTCCCATACAACATAGCTGGTCTAATAGCCGTTCTATAAAACTTACCTTTTAGTCTACAACACCCCAGACGCACTTCTCCACTTACACCATCCCGCATTAATCCTATGGGTCACATCTGCATCAATCTCTCCCGCTGTTGTGATAATTGATCCTAAATAACGAAAATGTTCACTCTTAGGCAGTTCTTGGTTCTCAATCTTTACTTCTCCTCTGCTTTCATTGTTACTGTTACTAAATTTACACTCCATGTACTCTGTCTTAGTTCTTTTTATCCGGAATTTTTTAGATTCAAGAGTTTTTCTCCAAATCTCCAACTTTGTGTTAACTTCTTCTCTAGTCTCATCCACAAACACAATATCGTCTGCAAAAAGCATACACCATGGCACGTCATCCTGAATATTTATCGTTAACTCGCCATAACTAAAGCAAAAAGATAAGGACTTAAGGTAGATCCTTGGTGTAACCCTACAGTGATAGGAAATTCATTTGTCTCTCCAGCTGGCGATCTAATAGTGGTCACCACCCCTTCATACATGTCCCTAATCACGTCAATGTAGCCTTTTGTCACCCCTTTCTTCTCTAATACCCACCATATTATATCTCGGGGCACTCTGTCATATGCTTTCTCAAGGTCGACAAACACTATATGGATGTCTCTTTTCTTTTCTTTATACTTTTCTATTACTCTCCTCAAAAGATAGATTGCTTCCATTGTTGACCTACCAGGCATAAATTCAAATTGATTCTTTGACACCTCTATTATGTCTCGCAATTGGCGTTCTATCACCCTCTCCCACACTTTCATTATATGACACATTAGTTTGATTCTTCTATAGTTGTTACAATTCTGGACATAACCTTTATTCTTATAGATTGGCACTAAAATACTTTTCCTCCACTCATCTGGCATATTCCATGTACTCTGTCTTAGTTCTTTTTATCCGGAATTTTTTAGATTCAAGAGCTTTTCTCCAAATCTCCAACTTTGTGTTAACTTCTTCTCTAGTCTCATCCACAAACACAATATCGTCTGCAAAAAGCATACACCATGGCACGTCATCCTGAATATTTATCGTTAACTCGCCATAACTAAAGCAAAAAGATAAGGACTTAAGGTAGATCCTTGGTGTAACCCTACAGTGATAGGAAATTCATTTGTCTCTCCAGCTGGCGATCTAATAGTGGTCACCACCCCTTCATACATGTCCCTAATCACGTCAATGTTGCCTTTTGTCACCCCTTTCTTCTTTAACGCCTACCATATTATATCTTGGGGCACTCTGTCATATGCTTTCTCAAGGTCGATAAACACTATATGAATGTCTCTTTTCTTTTCTTTATACTTTTCTATTACTCTCCTCAAAAGATAGATTGCTTCCATTGTTGACCTACCAGGCATAAATTCAAATTGATTCTCTGACACCTCTATTATGTCTCGCAATCGGCGTTCTATCACCCTCTCCCACACTTTCATTATATGACACATTAGTTTGATTCTTCTATAGTTGTTACAATTCTGGACATAACCTTTATTCTTATAGATTGGCACTAAAGTACTCTTCCTCCACTCATCTGGCATATTCCTAGTCAACAAAATTTTGCTAAACAACCTAGTCAACCAAGCAACTCCCTTTTTACCCAAACACTTCCAAGCTTCAATAGGGATATCATCGGGTCCTAAAGCCTTATTTGATTTCATCTTCTTAAGTGCAATCTCCACTTCAAAGTTCCTAATCCTGCGATAGAACCTATAATCTTGGTTTATCGTATTACTGGCTATTTCTTCCCCTATTGTCGCACTTCCATGTTCCTCATTTAACAGTTTCTCAAAATAATTCTTCCATCTTTCATTAATCTCATCATCTTTCACCAATACCTTAGAATCCTCACTCTTGATGCACTTTACTTGATTAAAATCTTTTGTTTTCCTCTCCCGTATCTTAGTAAGTTTGTATACCCTCTTCTCTTCCTCCTTACTATCTAGTCTAGTGTATAGGTCATCATAAGCTTTCAACTTAGTTTCTCTCACTACTTTCTTGACCTCCTTATTAGCCAATCTATAGCTCTTAAGGTTTTCCTCAGTTCTATCCTTCTGCCACTTTTTAAAGCACTCTTTTTTTGCCTTAACTACCGCTTGAACCTCTTCCCTCCACCACCAAGTTTCCCTAGAGCCGGGTCCTGTTCCTTTTGACTCTCCAAGCACTTCCCTTGAGATTCTCCTCATACAATTGGCCATTGAATTCCACATAGTGTTAGCATCATCTTCTAAGTCCCAAATACCTTCCTTATCCATTCGATTCTTAAATATTTCTAGTTTATCCCCTTTTAGGTCCCACCATCTCGTTCTACGACGCCCACCATCCTTCCTAGCTTGGTATTGCCCTCTAAAACATAAATCTAGTACCAAAATCCTATGTTGAGAGACTAGACTTTCTCCAGAAATCACCTTACAATCATTGCATTTTAGACAGTCCACTTTTCTCATTAAGAAGTAATCTATTTGGCTCTTGACTAATCCACTTTTAAAGGTTATCAAATGCTCCTCCCTCTTCTTATACATAGTATTGGCCACCACCAGGTCAGAAGCCAACGCAAAATCTAAGATTCTCTCTCCAACCTCATTTCTGTCACCAAAACCGTATCCACCATGCACCCTTTCATAACCTAATTTATCTATGCCCACATGGCCATTAAAATCTCCACCTATAACCAGGTTCTCTCCTACGGGGGTATCTCCTGTAAGATCTCATCCATTTGCTCCCAAAAATCCCTCTTAGTCTGATCATCTAACCTACTTGAGGGGCGTAAGCACTAATAATGTTCACTATATTCCCTCCAATAACTAGTTTAACTAGCATAATCCTATCTCCTTTCCTAGTGACCGCCACCACACTTTCTACAAGACCCTTGGCAATTATGATTCCTACTACATTCCTGCGTCTATCCTTACCACTATAATAAAGTTTAAAACCAGTATCCTCAATTTCCTTAGCTTTCTCTCCCGTCCACTTAGTTTCTTGTGTACAAGCTATACTAACTCTCTTCCTAATCATAGCATCTACCAATTCCATCGTCCTACCAGTTAAGGTTTCTATGTTCCAAGTGACTACCCTAAATCTATAGTCTTGGACTAGCTTCTTTACCCGCGCTCGTCCAGAAAAACACGGAAACCTTTGCCCATTTTTCACCGCACCCAAGCGTCGATGCGACGCCCCTTGCTCACTTTTCGAAACACCCAAAGGCAGGCGCAACGCGTCACTTGAGGGGAACGACCTAGCATTTAAATGATTCAAAGTAAGATTCATTTTCATAAGGGATCCGAGCGACTTTTTTACGTGTTGGCTGTCGGCTACCTAACACACAACCCTCCTCCTTAATGATGTGACAACTTATAGTGACAATTTATAGTGACTTTTTAATTTTTCAACTTTTTAACTAAATGTATAGTTGACAAACGAGACCACCACCTTTATCACATTATTGTGGATGCATTTATAAGTGCAAAATGTGAATCTGTAACATTTTTGAAATATCTTTTCTTTTGCATGGCGCATGGAATGGAAAAGAGAACCTACAACATCACTCTCACTATGTTAATGGCCATTTTTATTCTACTTTTAGTTACATGGGGAAATGAAACAATTATTTATATTCTCATATTTAGTTACACTTTTTAAATTATTGTAATATAATAAGTCTTTTAAACCACATTGACACAATAAATTACTGAGCCAACCTTAACTGCTCATAAATGTATCCAACTCTGTGATTTCAATTGGTACAAGTGGTAGATCCAAATTTTCACAATCCGAGGAGTAAATAAATTCTTTATAATCACTTTTGAATGGAAGTTACCATAGTGAAGAGCTCTTGCTAAGTTTTACAATGAACTTTTGTCTAGTTCATGGAAGAGAGGGCAATCCACACAACAGAGGGAACTAATCCAAGTTATGGAGGTTTTATCTAGTACATCTCGACTCCTTTTCTTAAACACTATCAAAGAATCTAATTTGAAAGGTTCTAAGTACCAAATTCTAACTGTGTATGCACTTCAGCCGAACGTGTCTAGTTTGCAGGCACCACTTCCCTTGAATGCAGTAGCCGGTGAACTCATGAGATTCTTTCATCAATATAACCCAATCACTATGCAAGCGCATATGTCGGCAACACTCTTGAGATTCTTAGGTAGGTTGCTTACCTCCATGTTCCCATATCAGAAAATGAAGTCACTCAACTGACCATGCTTTTCATTCCGGGCATGAGCATTCTTGCTGACAACATATGCCTTGTCTTCTACACCAGCATTCAAACAATTCATCCTGTGCCTGTAGCATTGACAGCCAATGCATATGTGTTGGTAATTGGTATACTAAGACACAAGAACGTGGTCGTTGATGAAGTTTCAGAACATACCATTCAAAATGATCTTCACAGCAAACAGAACCCCAGATAATTGAAAGTCCAGCACCTTTCCTGTAAACGAGATTCAAATTATTCGAGAAATCAGAAGAATAAAGGATTATGAGCCAGTGTCATGTATGAATTCAATTAAAGCAAGGTAGTGCCCAATCACATGTAAAAGATTTTAATATTTTGAAATCAAAAACCATTTCAGGCTTCACCATTAAATTCTTTTTATGAAGCTTATGAAGTCTACAGATATTATGTTTAAGAATAAAGGTTGAGACCCCCTTTAGTTTTGATTGGTCAACTTTTTTTTTTTTTTTTTCTTCTCACCCAATCCCCAACCTCCATGTGTGTGAGGGGGTTATGGGAATGGGTATTTTAAGGGGGTCTAAATCAGTGCCCTTAGACCAGCATAACAGTTCGGCAATACCCTAGTACGTGTTTTTAATCTGGAGATGTGATCAATAGCAAAAAGGAAAATGAGACCACTTGGAAGTGATATAGGTGCATACCAAGCTGCAGTGTACATGTCATAGAACTTTTCAAAAGCTTTATCAAAACAGTAGTGACAAGCTAAAAGATCCTTGACATCTGTCACCTTGCATGTTGATTTACAGCACTTGACCTATGTCATACAAGTTGCATCATTAAGCATGAAAAACAACCATTTGTTTCATGTATGGATACATAATATCATGACATTTGAAGCAATGGAAGGGACATACTGCATACAAAAGTATAAAAGTATATGAGAAATAACAAAACAAATCACATGCTTCACAGTTAGCACGTAAAACACCCACAGAGAGCCAGCTGCACTATTAAAAAAAAAAAAAATTTGAGTGTCACACCAAATTAAGCCAGATGAAAAAAAGGGAAAAAGGGAAGAGTTCATCAATCCTAAATTTCATAAAGCAGCAGTGGGACCTGGGGAATCTTTCCATCATTGTGTACCATACCCTTATCCCTGAACTTGTTCAGTCCATTTAGTATGGAACAGAATGTATCACTATAGCTTCTTAAAAAAGAATGCAATTAAAATAGAACCAAAAGAAAGGAGAGGCAACAATGACAAGCTACCACCAAACAACTAGAAAGGCTAGCAAGAAATGACAGAATATAAAGAAAAAAACATAATAATCCAAGTGCCAATAAGATTGTGTAGACTGAATTTCCTTCTCAGATAAATATCTAGAGTTAATCTTTGTTGAAAAGCTAAAGAAAGAAATATCTGATGGTGAGAATCTCTATTATCATAATCTTACGATTCGCGATTTGATTCGCGATTTGATTCACGATTTTTGCAAAATTGATAAGAACCTATGGGTGCATCTATTTTGGAAGTGAATCTCTAGTGAATCATACGATTCACGATTTGATTAACTTTTTATGATTCATGCAATTTTTGAAATTAGTGTCTGAAATATTTTCGACTTATTTTTTTTCTCTTCATCTTTTTAGTGAAAATGACATAATACAACTTCTAATAACGTTTAATACCAAAATAACCAACATATATATATGATTTGTTGTTATTTTAGTGATCATAGAGTTTTTAATAGAATTCAATCAGATTCAGTCAGACCCAACATATTTTTGACCTTTCTTCTCATTTTTATCCCTTTAAAAAATCATAATATATCTTCTAAAGATGTTTAAGATTAAAGTTACACTATGAATTATCTATTGCTATTTTATTAAATTGAATATTACATGTGTAAGGTCAATTATACATTTGAAAATGTTTTAGGCTTTAAAATAAAATATTCTAAATAATTATTTCCTATTATTTCCTATTATTTGCTCACTGTTACTTAGAAAAGTATGCATGTTTATTGTGCAAATATCAACATCGTTGTTAATTATTGTTACTTTGAAAATTGATAGTTTCTCTATTTGGTTATTATCTTTATTAAGAATGGTTGATAAGAAATACCTAAAAAACAAAAAGTTAAGATGGTGATCTTACATAAGAACTTTGTTAACTTCTTACCTATTATACTATGTGATTATCATTCAAAATAATATTTTCATTGATTTAAGTCTAAATATTTTATATTCATAATATATATTTGACATCTAAATATATAGATATACGTTTTAAGTAATTTAGAAAAAGTGACCGAATTTTTACGATTCATGATTCGATTCGATTCGCGATTTGATATGAGGCCATTTCAATTCATGATACGAATTCCGATTTGACAACTATGGTGAGAATGAAATTGTTTAGTTCGTTGGACTACAAAATCCAAAAATTGGTTCAAAGATGATTAATCATAGCAATTGTCTCTTCAAAACCAAAATAGAAACTTCATTGCCAACAAACATCCTCCAATTCCTTTCGCCCATTCAATCCACTTTAACACCAGTGGGACCAAATACCAAGCCTTCCTCCTTCCCACAGGAGCTCTCCCTCAATGAAAAAAGAAGCTTTCCCACCTCCCTACAGAAAACCCTCACTACCTCAAACATAACAAGGATCAAAGACCACGACTCCAATGCTCCTTAATAGATGCCATAGAAGAGACTTAAATGTGCTAAAAACTATAGTTTCATTTAGAACAGACCAGACCCCACCAGCCAATATTGTAATGCAAGTTCAAGTAATAGAGCAGCATATGCAATTGTATGTCTAAAGGCAGATTACAGAAGTCTCACCAAACGCTTGAGCTTATAGGAGTAATATTGTCCGTGGGAGGGGTGTGCCCTGATGTGCTCACTCAAATGACCTGCACTGAAATTATCATATATTCACTCCATGATCCTCTATTAGAATCTTCAACATGATAAAGGTCACAAAAAAGAATATCAGAGAAACAGTTGAACAGCATTATAAAAAAACACTAATGAGAAGGAACAAGATGCTCACAAGTCATAAATAATGCCTCCCTCCCTTAGTAATTTTAGCAGTTTCGAACGTTTTCTTGTGCAATTGTAATAATTCTCCAAACTGCCTCAAGACTAATGGTGGAACACTCTCCACCATGTTTTTTTAAATAACGTTATTAGGATATGTATCAGTATCGGTGATATGGTCATATCTCGGCCAATATCGCACTGTTGGACATTATTGGCCCAATATGTCAATGAATAATGGTATCACTCGGCCAATATCGCACTGTTGGACATTATTGGCCCAATATGTCAATGAATAATGGTATCAGAAGGCCAAAATCCCATTACGTAACAGTCAATACAATATGTAACGGCAGATATTTAAAACCTTGCTCTCCACCCTATGTTTGTCTGCAACATATTTAAAACAATAACAATGCACTCTCATCTCACTTGGAAGTGTTTTTTTTTTTTTTTTTTGCTAAATAAATCACTTGGAAACTTATAGATAATAATAACATTTAGCCTTCACAAGCCTCAACTCCGCCAGAGTTGTTTAACAACTTCGCCGATCCCCACCTCAAGTAAAGGAGTGTGTTAGGTAGCCGACATCCAACCTATGTTACCAGAAAACGTTAACACCCTAGCGAATTACGAATTGGTACACACGTTCCGAAACATGGCATACTTTCGTTCCAAAACGGTAAATTTAGGAATCCAAAGCGATCTCAAAAGTTTTTTTGCAATATATTTCCTTAAATGTTACCTTAGGAGAAAAAAAAATCAAATATATGAACTAAAATCTAAGGTGAATTAAGTTTTGACAAGACAAAAAAAATAAAAAATGGGTCATAATTTTTATAGAAATGATTTGTTACATGAAAATACATATATTATTGGATACCTAATAGTTAAGAGAAAACTACTCTAGAAGTATCCTAAATTCTCATTTGTAATATATATATATATATATATAAATATAAGTCTACAACTATTGTACCACATTTTAGAGCATGTGGCATACTACGTTCCCGTTTCCGTTCCTGTTCCATATACCGGAACGATCCACTTTTTAGGTAACATAGCATCCAACACGTAAAAAAACCGCTCGGATCCCTTATAAAAATGAATCCTACTTTGAATCGATTAAATGCAAGGTCATTCCCCTTAAGTGACACGTTGTGCCTGCCTCCGAGTATTTTGAAAAGTGAGCAAGGGGTGCCGCATCAACGCCTGGGTGCGGTGAAAAATGGGCAAAGGTTTCCGCGTTTGTCTGGACGAGCGTGGATAAAGAAGCTAGTCCAAGACTATAGGTGTAGGATAGCCACATGGAATATAGGAACTCTAACTGATAAGACTATGTAATTGGTAAATGTCATAATTATGAGGAGAGTTAGTATAGCTTGCGTACAAGAAACTAAGTGGACGGGTGAGAAAACTCGAGAAATAGACGATACCGGTTTTAAACTATATTATAGTGGCAAGGATAGACATAGAAATGGAGTAGGAATAATAATTGCCATGGGTCTTGTAGAAAATGTAGTTGCGGTCATTACGAAAGGTGATATGATTATGTTAGTTAAACTAATTATTGGTGAGAATATAGTGAATATTATTGGTGCATACGGCCCCTAAATAGATTTAGATAATTAAACTAAGAGAGATTTTTTAGATCAAATGGATGAGGTATTACAGGAGATACCCGTAGGAGAGAACCTAGTTATAGATGGTGATTTCAATAGCTATGTAGGAATATATAAACTAGGTTATGAAAGGGTGTATGGTGGATATGGTTTTGGTGATAGAAATGAGGCTGTAAACAGAATTTTAGATTTTACATTGACTTCCGATCTGGTGGTGGCCAATACTATGTGTAAGAAGAGAGGAGCATTTGATAACCTTTAAGAGTGGGTCAATTAAGAGTCAAATAGATTATTTTCTAGTAAGAAAAGTGGACCGCCTAAAATGTAACGATTGTAAGGTGATTCCTGGAGAGAGCCTGACATCTCAACATAGGATTTTGGAATTAGATTTATGCTTCAAGGGGCAATACCAAGCTAGGAAAGATAGTGGGCATTGCAGGACAAGATGTTGGGACCTAAAAGGAGATAAATTAGAAATATTTAAGAAAATAATGGATAAAGAAGGTATTTGGGACTTGGAAGATGATGCTAACACTATGTGGAACTCGATGGCCAATTGTATGGAGAGAATCTCAAGGGAAGTTCTTAGAGAATCAAAAGGAAAGGGACCCAACCTTAGGGAAACTTTGTGGTGGAGGGAGGAGGTTCAAGCGGTAATAAAGAAAAAAAAATAGTGCTTTAAAAAGTGGCAGAATGATAGAACTGAGAAAAACCTTAAGAGTTACAGATTGGCTAATAAGAAGGTCAAAAAAGTAGCGAGGGAGACTAAGTTGAAATCCTATGATGACTTATACAATAGACTAGACAGTAAAGAGGGAGAGAAGAGGATAAACAAACTGGCTAAGATAAGATAGAGGAAAACAAGAGATTTTAATCAGGTTAAGTGTATCAAGAATGAGGACTCTAAGGTGTTGGTGAAGGATGAAGGGATTAAGAAAAGGTGGAAGAACTATTTTGAGAAGTTGTTAAATAAGGAACAAGGAGATAGGTCAAGAGGGAAGGAAGTAGGCAGTAATAAGGAAAACCAAGACTAGGTTCTATCGTAGAATTGAAAACTTTGAAGTAGAGATTGCACTTAAGAAAATGAAATCGAATAAGGCTTTAGGACCCGATGATATGCCTATTGAAGCCTAGAAATGTTTAGGTAAGAAGGGCGTTGTTTGGTTGATTAAGTTGTTTAGCAAGATTTTGTTGACTAGGAAAATGCTAGAGTGAATGAAGAGTATTTTAGTACTAATATATGAAAATAGATGAGATGTCCAGAGCTGCAATAACTATAGAGGAATCAAGTTAATGTATCATATGATGAAAGTGTGGGAAAGAGTGATGAACGTCAATTGCACGATATAACAAAGGTGTCGAAGAATCAATTTGGATTTATGCCTGGTACGTCAATAATGGAAGCGATCTATCTTTTGAGGGGAGTAATAGAAAAGTATAGAGAAAAGAAAAGAGTCATTCATATGATTTTTATCGATCTTGAGAAAGCATATGATAGAGTGTCTCGGGATATAATCTGGTAGGTGTTAAAAAAGAAAGGGATAACAAAAGGTTACATTTATGTGATTAAGGATGTGTATCAAGGTGTGGTGACCACTATTAAATCACCTGCTGGAGAGACGAATGCATTTCCAATTACTATAGAGTTACACCAAGGATTATCCTTAAGTCCTTATCTTTATGCTTTAATTATGGATGAGTTAATGCGAAATATTCAGGATGATGTGCCATGATGTATACTTTTTGCAGCTGATATCGTGTTAGTAGATGGGACTAAAGAATGAGTTAACACTAAATTGGAGACTTAGAGAAAAGCACTTAAATCTAAAGTATTTAAGATAAGCAGAACTAAAACAGAATACATGGAGTGTAATTTTAGTAACAGTAACAATGGAAGCAGCAGAGAAGTGAAAATTGAGATCCGAGAACTATCTAAGTAGTGAACATTTTCGTTATTTAGGATCGATTATCACAACGACTGGGGGGATTGAAGCAGACGTGGTCCATAAATTAAGGCAGGGTGGCTTAAGTGGAGGAGTGCATCTGGGGTATTTTGCGATAAATGAATACCCACTAGACTAAAAGAGAAGTTCTATAGAACGGCTATTAGACTAGCGATGTTGTATAGGACGGAATGTTGGGCAATTAATAAACATGTAGATAAGATGCGTGTTGCTGAGATGAGGATCCTAAGGTAGATGTGTGGCAAGACTAGAAAAGACAGAGTTAAAAATGAATATATTCGAGAGTGGGTAAGAGTAGAACCAATAGAAGATAAGTTGATAGAGAATAGATTGAGATGGTATAGTTATATACAACGGAGACCAATAGAGGCAGTAGTGAAGAGATGCGATACAGTGATGGTAGATGGTAGTGTTAGGGGAAGGGATAAACCTAGATTAACGTGGGCTAGTACAGTGCATAGAGATATGAATTTCCTTAATTTGACTAACAAAATGGCCTTGGATAGAGTCGACTGGAGGAGAAGGATTCATGCAACCGCCCTCATTTGATGGGACTTCAAGCTTGGTTTGGTTAGCCTTCAAAAGCCTTACACATCTATGCACCCCCATCCCCAAAACCATTCTAAGACGAACAGTCTCTCTGGAATATTTTCCTATACAGAATAGTTCATCTATTTGATGTCATGATAACCACCTTCCACACTATCAGACAACCAAAAGCCAAATCAAGCTGAATGATAATGACACTAACAAGTGGCACCACCACATGTCAGTAGCATGGACCAATAAGGACGGAATTGTCCATCACAAAATTATTTTACCTGCAGGCAGGAATTAAATTATATTGTTCTGACTTACCTGTCACAAAAGGTAGCACTACAACCAAGGCATGTGGCCAAAGTCGATGTCCTAGAGCATGTGTTACACTTTGCAGCTGACAAGTTTCTGCCTATTTGGTGGCATCTGCAGGTAAGGATAGACCAAATAAATTAATACAACTGCATTAAGTCCCTCTGTTATGCTCCTCAAGAGGACTTTAGCATTGAACAGACAAATATAAATCAACTATTTCTGTTTTTGTACCTTTACTCAATAAGCTTTTAAACTTTGTGCAAAAAAGGAAGTTTAAACAAAAAGAACAAGGTCACTGATTGATCACGTGATGATGGAATATTAATATTTTATGGTGGGCATCAGTTCTTAATAACTCTTCCATGCAGGAAGCACAAGCAAACACCTAAAAATGCCTTTATATTATGAAGGTGATAACCCAAACCATGCGGTGCATATAAATAGTTGAATGGCCTGCTTAGCGCTTATATTCATCCATTCTACATGATTATGATTTTTTGGACAGTAGATGGAATGAAGTTGCCTGAATTAGAATCAACTTCTTCATTGATTGGATCAATGAAAACATCTTTCAATCTCAGTTCCCCAAGGATGTCATACAGGCAAAAAACATTTTTTTCTTTCCCTTTTTTTTTTTTTTTTTGTATCATTTCCCAATGCAAAAAATACAGGAACCTAGAATGTCCAAAGTACAATATAAAACACAATATAATAAGTTCCCACATATGTTAGTTCATGAAACCACTAATAAACAGATATCCATGATGCAGCTGTCACAGGAGCATTCCCCATTTCTGTGAGGAATTAGGACAACAACTCTATTAAAAATAAATAAATAAATAAGTAAATAAAAAGAAAAGTTGCCAATCATCCTAAAATAAGTCGAAAACCAACAGTAATAAGTAGTGAAAATTTTGTTTCATATGGCAAGAAGTCATTTAACACATCGATTTATAACATATTCATTTAAGCAGTAGATTTATAATGAAATTTCATTACACAAAAGGATCAAAACAATGACACCTGAATAAATTATAAAGGCCCAGAAGACCAGCAAATGAGTAAGAAAGAAACCTTTTGTATAGTTCTTGAAGGTCTCTGGAAATGGAAGTGGACTTTTTTTGACCTATTGCCACCTATATGAAAGGAAAGCTTTAATAAGCTCAATCAAACTATGATCAAAGGAGTACACAATAGCAGGTCATTTAAAAGATCTTAATTGACAATCAGAGAGACAGGATACCTGGTTACATGGTTCAACTGAACAAAGAGAATTGGATGTCACCACCAAACAATCTTCAGCAAGATGCCCAGGTCTCTGACATTTCCAACTACAATGGAAAGATAGCAATCATGATAGACAATTGTAAAAACAATTAAACAGCATGATGGTGGGTATCTTTGTGGTTACAAGAATATGAATATAAAAGCTCTCACATTAATATCTCACTGAAAGCATTAAGTTGCTAAGTCTAACAGAAGTTTAATAGCAAAGATTATCAAGGACAGAATCGATGATTCTTTCCTCCTTGCATGGATTGAACCGTAACAGCACATTTTTGCTCAAAAACTAGTCCAAAAAATGGAAAAATACTAAAAAATAGACATTGAAATGTACCATTCGTAAGTACAGAGGCTGGATCTCTTCTTGGACCAACGCAGACGGTTATTATCCCAGGTGTCTCCTCCAAATTCAATCAACTGTGAAGAATTAGGTCGAATTAAGTATTCATCTTGTCTTTGGTTGCTTACATGCCGCTGAAAACATCATCAATGAAAGGGTTTCACAGTTCAGAAGGCAGAAGAAAATTCAGAGGTTTTCTATTTTGAAGAAAAATTATAAGCAAACAAACACCTCAGAAAGTTTGAGGTTCTCCAAAAGCTCAGCTTTGCAATCCATGCTGCAGATATCATCATCAGTCTATCAAAACAGACATACAGACATAAAATTCAAGGTCACTATGGACAGATATGTATATATAAAGGAAGAAAAAAAGTTAAGGTGTGATAATATTTTGTTAAGTTGACATATCCCACCTCATCACAAATATATTCTCCATATTTCCCACATATCACACAAACAGGTTCTCCTGGAACAGCAAAACGCTGCTCACTTCTGTTCTTCACACGATCAACTTCATCCAAATTACCTAAAAAAGAAGTAAACCAAGCTATTGTGTGAAGGACATATCTGAGAATGGCTGCAAGGGCCAATTGCACTAATTAAAGGAATGAAGAGATCCCAAAATACATGAGTTTACACCAGAATTAACTTCTATTCACAGAGTTTTAGATAGGATCCTAGTCATTGCAATCTCTGGTCCAAGCAATAAACCCACATGCAATTGCTTGCCAGGGTCAACCACTGTACACAGAGACTGTGTTGGGTTTATTATAGGACTTCAAATTGGTCAATGAATGGGATGATTTAAGTTAATTTTACTCAACCAAGTAATTAGATAAAACTAGGTGACAAAAAAGGACTATTACTTAGAGAAGATGGCTAAGATCCTTCCCGGAAAATGGAGTGGTTAAGTTTAAGCTGTCCCCTTTAGGATCACAACCGAGCATTGAACTTAGCAATTTACCAGGTGCAAAAATGGATTTGTTTGAAACTGAATGCAAAAGTTGACATAGATATCTAAATGATGACAGTGGCTTGGCTAGTCACAAGACAGCTAATGGATAGGCATAAAGAAACGAACCAGAATTAGGAGGATCCAGCTTCTTTTCACATTCTGAGGAACTACTGTCACCTGAATTTTCATGAACATAGTTTTAGATTAAGATTAGTAGAAGTCAAGTGTTACAAAACAACATCTAGATCCATAACTTGCATAATATAAGCAATTATGCCACTAGTTCAATAGAAGAAGAAAGCAAAGACACAGGCTAACAAAAATTCACAATTAATACCAAAACTTGCTTTTAAGTAAGAAAAAAATCCCAAAACAAAGGCGAATGGGAAGAACAAACAAAGAAAGGAACTGCAGAGAATTGAGAAACGTCATAATGATACCCTTAAAAAAAAAAACCTCTTTTTAAAATAGATGACTCACCTTGTGAGCTGGTCTAAAAACAAAATACTTCAAGAAGACACTACATTGAAACCAAAGACCCAATGCAACCTAACTTGTAACCTGATAAACAGCCATTGTATAAAATTATCATTGTTATAACATAACTTGTAACCTGAAAAAATTACCATTGTATACTAGTATATCAGGATAAGTTTCTTGTAAGAAGATAACCCATTGGAGGGGTTTCCTATTTCTTTTTAATGTTTAATTAATTATAATTAAAGAAAAAATTAGTCAGTGTGCTTGAGGAAGCTGGGAGAGGTAAGACTCGAGATGGACCTAAGCTTTCATATTGGTTGGTGCAAAAGTGGCAGCTGTCAAACTTGAACTCTTGAACTCATGTTTGAAAACCTGTTCTTTTAGAGCAGTACTATAAAAATAAAATATGTATTTTACCTCCTGTTTAAATTTCAGTATCTCATTGAATTGCAAGTAAAAAGGCAAAAATAATCACATCTTACAGCAACACAAGCTCAAATTCAAACAAAGATCAATATCAAACACTTTTTCTTAAAGATAAGTAATAAATATCAAGCAAGAACTTACTATCATACTTCACCAAACTTATGGTTGGACAAGAATTTTCCTGTAACATAGGAACAAAATATCAGAGGATAAAAATAAAAACTAACTAAATGATGAACTACATAGCAAACCAAAAGAATTGTCATTACCAACACATCTGCAGTTAGTTCCTGATAAACCTGAGAAGAATTGACTTCCTTCCTGTAAATACAAATAGCAAACAAAATTTTTTTTTTTTAAATGGTTTTGATTTTTTAACATTCTAATCATATACATATATATATATATATATATATTTATACATTTTACATCCACTTAATCTACACTTAAAAAATACAAAAAATTTATGCAAAATTTTTTTTTAAAAAAAAAATTATTGAATACAACAAAATATGAAAATGTACTCAATTTTTGTATTTTTTTTGTATTCAATAAATTTTTGAAATATTTCTACACAAATTTTGTATTTTTAAAGTGTATCTAGATTAAGTAAATGTAAAAAATAAAAAAATAATAATAATTAAAAAAAAAAATACCAATTGAAGACTCAGAAAACTATTTTTGAAAAATCAAAACCAAACAGTGTGAATGTTTTCTATGAACTTGAATAAAATTTCAAGCTCAATCTATGCCATACAATATACATGAAAAAATAAAAATAAAAATTTAAAATTTAAAATTCACCTTCTCTTTAGAATGTAATCCTGGTGAGACATTGATTCATCACTCTCCTTGATTTCATTGTTTCGATCCGACGGAGGCCTCTTTTCGCGGTGGCGCTTGCGGGGCACGGTTTTGTCGTCGCCGGCGACTAGTTCTTCGGTCGGAGGAGGGTTTCCGGTTGCGACGTTATAAGCTGAAAATTAGGGGAGGGGGAATTGAATGAGAAAACAAAAACCCTAGATTAGCAATTTTAAGAGAGATTGAACCGACGATACCTCGGAGATTCTGAAGAACAGAATTGAGACTGAAGTCTTTGTTGTATGTGAAAGAAGGATTCTTGTAGAAGTTCGTCCTCGTCCCCATTTTCTGTTTCTTTCTCTCTGCGTAATTGATCCCAAATTATAATATAATATGCAAAGTTTATTGGAAAATTTGGTGCGAAACTTATTGGCAATTCTAAACGTTTATTCTAGTGGTGCTTTGCTAAGGAAGTAAAAAATTAGTTTTTGACTTTTTATTTATTTTGGCTCACATTATTTTTTTATATTTTTTATTTATTAAAAGATAAAATAAATTTAAAAAAAAATTAAAAAGTCCATTTTTATCAATTTCTTAAAATACCACTTATTATTATTATTATTATTTAATTTATTTTATTTTTGTTTACATTAAATTTGATTAAAATTTTGAGTAAAAGTTTTATTTGATATAGCTGTTTTAACGGAGAATTTTAATCTTTCATCAAATTACTAGTCAACTGAGAGGATGATCGGGTGAATGTCCAGCCGATCAACCGGGTAGTGTAAATTTCTAACAATTTTGCAACGAAGTGGGCATTCGAAGAAACAACCGTCCGGTCATCTAGTGCTTTTACAATCTCCAATGTGTACCTGCAAAGCTAATGGTTATGTATAATAATTTGATGAAAGGTTTGGGCATCCTCAATTTGATGAAAATTTGAGAAAAAATACTATAGACCCCAAATGAATTATCAAATATTCTACCAAACTCTCACATGAGTGTGGGACCCACACACATGCGATTTGTGTGGGTCTCATACCAATATGAGAGGTTTGGTAGAATATTTGGTAATTCATTTGGAATCTCTAGCATAACTCAAATTTCAGATATCCTGAATTTGATATTTGTTTGATGTTAACGTTTAAGCATCGTTTTTATCAATTTTTTTATCAATTTTAAATTTGATGAAAAATCTGATGAAGAATTGAAGATGGTCTTAGTTATACCATTTTATCACATTATTCTAACTATAACTTGTGTAGTTATAATATATATATATTTAATTATAACTCAAAAAATATATAATTATATTATTTTTTTAATTGTAAGTTACATATGTATTGGTAAAAAATTGATTTAAATCTAATCAATAGCGATTAACTTAAATTAATTTCCACACACAAAAAAAATAGATTTTGTGATTGAGTTTTATGTCTTAAACAGATTAATAATTTATTTGGAAGTAATTAACTGAAGAAGAGACAAAACAGGATAGAATATGTATCATGGAAATAAATTGTCACTTGTTACAAGTTGCATGAACTTAATTAAAAATAAAGAACTAAAAAATACAATAATTGACTGAAAAAAATAGTGGAGGTTGGAAAAAAACTATTATTAATCTACTCTTAAAATTGCTAATTTAACTATTCCTAATCAGATATCACGATTTGTGAGTTGTTTAAATTGTTCTCTTTTTTAGTATTTCTCTTGACATATTTATAGGCTCAGCTACGAGATAGAGAAAGATAATCAAATCAAATATTTCTTAAACATCATCCATATCTCATGTTCATAGGAATCACTTTGCAAATTTGGTACTTGACTTGGTCTTGACTCCTTGATCTCAACAACTAAATTTCAAATAGCTACAATGACTAACTTTTTGACCTTTCATTTAACATGTCATCATGTCACGTTTTAACATATTTATCATGCCACGTCTACATGCTTGTCGACAATAATAATAATAATAATAATAATAAATGTGGTTAATGTTATTTCTTTAAAAATAGTGATAGACCATAATCAAGCTTGAACATAATTAGTAGACCACAATCAACAGAAAAATAAAATGTGATGCCAATAATGCCTCCTCATTTAAATGGATTGAAGAATGAAATCCAATTAAATGATTTATAAAGCAGTTTACCACAATTGATAAAAAATATTTTATGATGCAAAAAATTCGAATTCTTGAAGAGTTATATTACACCTATAATAATTTTTAATCTAGCACTGTCGATTAGTAAGCATCCTGTCTTTGACTCTATCAAGTGACATAGCAAATAGCTACATTTCATATTTTTAAAATAAAACAATGCTCTGTTAGTCACATTTTGGCTAATTAAAAAGAATTCAATACATATAGCATTCTTCAAATATTGTTGTTTTTCAAATTATGTCATGAAAAATAATTTTTTGTGTGATTCACAAATCCAAACTGGGTATTGGATTCCAAAACTCACATAATTAAATGTCATAAAAAAATCATAAATTTTGATACTTTGAACAATGTCAAAAAATTCTCTCAATAAATGTGGATTGTTCATAATTTTCAGTTATTTTTAGCTTAAAATCATATCTCCCAAGTGAATTTTCATCATCATATTGTGATGAATTTTTAACATTTTTTTGTGGGAATGGGTTGTTCTTCTTTTTTAGTCATTAATGGTTTGTCACTTTTTACCATGTTTGGCAAAACATCATGCCCCCAAGTATATTTTCACAATCATTTTGTGATGAATTTTTAACATATTTTGAGAGAATTGATTGTTTTTTAATTTTAGTCATTAATGGCTTATGAAAATGCTCCAAAATCATATTAACTTCATGTCTTGGTATTGTAATCCCCAGAGCCACATACTTTGGTTATTTTGTGAAAATTATTCCACCACATAATATTGCATAATACATATACAATGTTTAAATACATAATGTTATTCACAATTCAAAATAACGTAAATAAAAAACAAAAGTTTCCTTATGATTCTTCCGTGGGTAACAAAAACAAAAGTAAATCGCGATCTTTACACGCCTGTATTCCACAAGAAACAAACTGCTACTCGGAAAATATCTGAAAACAAAAAATAAAAATAATTAATAACAATATAATTATGTGTTAATATTTTAATTACAAAAAAACATAAAAAATTAACTACTATATAATTACAAAGATAATTAAGTAAATAATTTTGGGTAGACGGAAATCCGGCTCTAACTCTCAAATCCAGAACCCGATTGGAGTCTCGTCTTCTTCCACAGGTCTCTCGTGCCTAGGCGGTCGTGTGTGCCAAGTTTCGTGCTAAACCGACGCCGTTTGGAGATTTTGGAGCGTCAACACCTCTAATTCAAATTTCTTAATAAACTAGTTTGCTTAGACTGAAATCCGGCTCTAACTCCCATACCGGGAACCCGATTGTAATCCTATCTTCTCCCACAAGTCTTTCGTGCCTAGGCGGTCGTGTGTGCCAAGTTTTGTGCTAATCCGACGCCGTTTGGAGATTTTGGGGCGTCAACACCTCCAATTCAAATTTCTTAATGAACTAGTTTGCCTAAAGTGAAATCTGGCTCTAACTCTCAAACCGAGAACTCGATTGAAGTTCCGTCTTCTCTCACAAGTCTCTCGTGCTTAGATGGTCGTGTGTGCCAAGTTTCGTGCTAAACCGACGCCGTTTGGTGATTTTGGGGCTTCAACACCTTGAATTCAAGTTTCTTAAGGAACTAGTTTGCCTAGAGTGATATCTGACTCTAACTCCTAAACTAGGAATCCAATTAGAGCCCCATCTTCTCCTACAAGTCTCTCGTACCTAGGCAGTCGTGTGTGCCAAGTTTCGTGCTAAACCGACGCTATTTGGTGATTTTGGAGGCGTCAACACCTCCAATTCAAGTTTCTTAAGGAACTAGTTTGCCTATATTGAAATCCAGCTTTAACTCCCAAACTGGGAACCCGATTGGAGTCTCGCTTTTCCCACAAGTCTCTCATACCTAGACGGTTGTGTGTGCCAAGTTTTGTGCTAAACCAACGCCGTTTGGTGATTTTGGGGTGTCAACACTTCCAATTCAAATTTCTTAAGGAACTAGATTTTGGGGCGTCAACACATTGAATTTAAGTTTCTTAAGGAACTAGTTTGCCTAGAGTGAAATCAAGCTCTAACTCCCAAACCGAGAACCTGATTGGAGTCCCGTCTTCTCCCACAAGTCTCTCGTGCCTAGGCGGTCGTGCGTGCCCAGTTTCATGCTAATTCGACGCCGTTTGGTGATTGCAATTGCATCCCTACTTAATGGTAATAGTACTTTTCGGGAATTCAATGCATACATATATAAATTCTAAAGCAAAATGTAGCAAAAAACTACACTAAGGAAAGCCCAAAGCATACAAAATGAAACACATACCAAATGCATCCATAAACTTTGGATCACCTGGTGACTTGACGTCACGTCTGCATATGAAAGGAATAAAAGAATAAGTAAGAAAAAGTTAAGTATTTTGGAGGATATTATTGAACCTAAGGTACTTAACATTTTCTAACCACTAGACTTTCTCAAAGCCATAACTATATCAAACAAAATTCACTTATAGAGTAGTTTCTATGCCAATGAATATCAGTAACCCTAAAACATAATCTAGATACAAAGGCCCCAAGTGATTGAAAGAGATGATATAATAAAGCAAATATATTGTCTTTATCAAACAAATAATAAGAATCATAATATTTGTTGCAATGAAAAGACAATGACATTAACCTTTATCCCAGCATCCCTCTTTAGCCTTTTGCCTTGCAGAACCAACAACTTCAAAAGGAAGAGGTGCTTAAGATGACCACTACTCATGTTTTGACATTGCAATATCTGCACAGATACCTAAAGAACTATGAGAAAAATTCATCAATCAAGCTAAAACAAATAAAAAACAAATAGGAATCAACATGACCTTGTTAATTCAGATAATTGAAAGGAAAAAAATGAAAAGACACATGCAGATAGTTGGAGTAAATGAACACCCAAGTGTGAATATCATTGATACCCCAAGTATCATAAAGTTCACGGGTATTAGTACATATAGAATTTGAACAAAAGAAGGGTACTTTGCAACTACCTAGAGTCCGGAAAATTTGAAGCTTTTTTATGGCATGTTTTGAGAGATAAGATTTAAAGATATAAAAGGTTATCCATACATGACTAAATCATGTAAATTAAGTCACAATCTAGGTTAAAATACATAGCATAACATAACACAAGAACTCCACTTGCTTTGATCTCAACTACTTAGGGTGAGTAAATATGAATGAATGAACAACAAAATGAATACAAAAATGAACTTTTGCTTTTAAATAATGAAGTAAAACAGAGCTGTAACATGCTGATTACCACTCCAATCTGTTTGTGCAATCCAGAACACCAACTCAACCATATATACATATATAATTCCATTTCCAACTCATATCATACAAAGCTCAATTCAATAATTTTGGGATCAATTACTACAGGGATTAAAGAAGCCATGTGGTCAAAGTAGAACATATAGTAACCCTCCTTATCCTTTGTGCAAGGACTATATCAAAATGCAACAAATATTCCAAAGCTTCATATTGGTTTATCGGATATTTTATGCTCAACCCATTGCAACCTTGACATGTTGCTCCAGGAAATGAAGATATAATAAATGCTTTAATTGTAGAGAACTTTTCTTTGGCTAACCACCACTCAAAAAATATTGGCAGTGGGATACCACCTACAAAAAAAAAATCCATCATAAATTACATTTGCAATATTAAAATTAAATAAAAGATTAATTAATGAAGAATATCCAAAAAAATAAACAGTTTATACTAGCCACAATATAGAAAAACAGAACCAAGTCCATGGACCACAATATATGGATATTAAACTTTCAAAAATGAAGAAAATAGATGAAAGAACAACCAAAGAAAAATAGGAAAGAACATTAATGCTAATTTGTGCTATCTTTCCTACAGGAAAAATGATAATGAATTATACAACTAAATTTCACCTATATGTTACACACCCTTTCCCTTTCTTTTTCCAAATCTTTCCTCAAATCCATTTATCAAACACAGCATTTAGGGCTTTGTATTGAGCTTCGTTGTATATATTCGCTTTTTGGTAGAAATGCTCACTTACCCAAACAAAAAAAATAAGAACAAAAATATTTTCTGACTTCACCTTTTCATTGTAGTGGTGTTGTAATTCTATCACAAACCTAATAGGGCAAATTACTTATACTTGAATTTTATTTATTGAATTATTTATAATGCTCACCTTATTTTAGTTCACTTCAACATTTGCAGGTGCCCAAAATATTTGAGAACTATTTTGCACCAACTTAGTTAATTATTTTGCGATTATAAAGAGCTAATAATTTTCAATGCTTGTATGTCATGAAAAAATCAAGAGGGGAGGTAGGTTATTTTATAACCTCTAATTGTTCCAAGAACCTCTAAACAATTTGTGTTATTTAGATCATGAAATTATGTTGTTTTCAAGAGAAATATCAAGAGGCATCGTTTAACATCAACAATGGACAAAGAGTAACAAGTATAGAAGACCAACCTGGGATATGGATTTCCCTTCACAACTTTCTGCCCATATTTTCCCCAGCGAAAACCATCACCTATAATCTCAGTATCTGTGGAACCCTGCACTGGAACATGTGGCTCTTGTACTACCTCCCCTGATATGCCCGGTTCATTCTCATTTTTCTTGTAGGAAAGATAACACAAATCAACATTAATGTTCTTTCCTATTTTTCCTGTATGTATGTATGTATGTATAAACATGTGTGTGTGTGTGTGTAAGAGAGAGAGAGAGAGAGAGAGAGAGAAAGAGAGATGAGTAAAGAGTAAAGGAAGAAAGACATAAGAGATGTTGAGGTGACGGAAGAGGAGGCCGATGCTGTTGCTGCTCCGACGCTGCTCCTCCTCTGATGATGCTGCTGCTGCTCTTGCACTCCGGAGCCCTTTCCATTCACACAACAACCTCGTTTGTTGCTCGTAGTCATCCGCCACCGCCGCTCGCCCTCGTCTGCCGCTCTCCGTCTTCTGCCGTCGCTCGTCGTCGATCGAGAGAGAGAGAGGGGGGGGTACGAAGAGATTAGGGATTTTTGGGTCTGAGATTGGGGATTTTTTGTTTTTTTTTTTGGGTGGAGGGAGAAAAAAAAAGGGACGGGAATGAAAAAAAATATTGAGTAATTTTTGTTAAAATATATATATTTTTGTAGTTAATGAATTTTTTTAAAAAAATTTTTTTTTTTTTTTAGTTACTAAGATTGAAAATTTATTTGTTTCATTTTTATTTTAATGAAAAAAAATATTATTATTTTTTATTTGGTAGAAGTAGGGGTAATATTTTAATGAAAAATATTTTCCACTAAAATAAAAGTTAATTTTTTGTGGTCAATGAAAAATATTTTTCTACGGCCCATTTTTTTTTGGTTATTAAAAATCATGAACTAAGTTTTTGTGGTAGAGGAGAGGGAGTGGCAGTAGTGGTGAAGGTGGTAGATAAGAGATGATGGTGGTGGTGGTGGTGATGATGGTGATGGTGGTGGTGAAGGAGATTAGTGGTGAAATTGTGGTAGTGGTAGAGTAGATGGAGTGACAGGGGTGAATGAGAGATAATTGTAGTAGTAGTGGTAGTAGAGTGGTGGGAATGGTAGTAGTAATGGTAGTCCTAGAGGTGAAGTAGCGACAGTTGTAGTAGTGGAATGACGTTTGCAGTAGTTGTGAAGGTGGTAGAGGAGATGAGTAGTAAGAGAGAGAGAGATGAGTGAGAGATAGATAGGAGAGAGAGAGAGAGAGAGGTTGCTAAAAGTGCATTTTCTTGTAGTGGATAGATAAATCGAGAGGGAGCTCAGTAGATAGAGAAGACGGGAGGGAGGGAGTGAGCAACACGAACACAGTGGGAGAGAGAGAGAGAGAAAGAGAAGAGAGAGAGAGAAAAAAAAGAGACAAAGATAGAAGAGAGATGAACGAGAGAGACAGAGAGAGAGAGATAGAGATAAACAGACGAGAGATGAGCGAGGGAGACATAGAAAGAAGATAGATGAATGAGAGAGACAGAGAGAGAGATAGAGGGAAGAGAGATGAGTGAGAGAGATGAGAGATAAGAGAGATGGGCGAAAGAGACACTGAGAGAAAAGAGATGAGAGAAGAAATAGATGAGTGAGAGACACAAAGAGAGAGAGAGAGAGAGAGAGAGATAGAGATAGAGAGACAAAAAGAGAGAGAAGAGTGATGAGTGAGAGAGAGAAAGAGAAGCGAGAGAGGAAGATAAAAAAAATAGGTGAAAAGATATAGACAAAGAGAGAGAGAGAAAAAGAGCGAAAAGAGATAAACGAGAGAGAGACAAAGAGAGATGAGCAAGAGAGATAAAGAGAAGAGAGATAGACGAGAGACACAGAGAGAAAGAGAGAAAGAGAGAGGGAGAGAGACAGAGAAGAGTGATGAGTGAGAGAGAGAAGAGAGACAGAGATAGAGACAGAGAGATAGAAAGATAAAAAAATTGGTGAGAGGAGAAATGTTCAAAAGAGTAAAACGACGTCATTTTTGTTTTTTTTGGAGACAAAAAATACCGTTGCATTTATTTAAACCATTTTGTGACTATATATATGAAGCCGTTTCAAAGCCACAATATATATATATATATTTTACTCTTTTTTTTTTTGTGTGCAACAGTACCTATTACGGTCGCAAAAAACTCTTTTTTTTTTTTTGCGACTGCAGCTGGTACCGTCGCAAAAACTCTATTTTTTTTTTACGACAGCAATTTCTACAGTCGCAAATACTCTATTTTTTCGCGTTTGCGACATCAATTTCTGCCTTCACAAATACTCTCATTTTTTGTGACAGCATTTTATGCCGTCGTAAATACCCTGGGTGTGTTTGGTTTGTGTTTGTAGAGTAGTTTTTGAGATAAAAAGTACACAAATTTGTTTAGTTTGCCTTTTATCAGAAATGGTTTTGGAAAATTATTTTAGGATGAGAGTTTTAAAAAAAGTAATTGATTTGATGTGTATAAGAGAGAGAGTGATTTTGAAAATTAGGTAACCAAACAAAATTTTGAGATTTTTTTTGAAAAAATTTGTTTGGTTTGATTGCTCCTGAAAATTTGTTTGTAGAGAATTTTTCCCAAAATTTTTTCTAAAAAACAAACCAAACAAGTCCTCTATTTTTTGCGACGGCAAGTTGTGCCGTCTCAAAAGTCACATTTTTTTTTACGACGGCAAGTTGTGTCGTCTCAAAAACTCACATTTTTTGCGATGGCAAGTTGTGCTGTCTCAAAAGGTCACATTTTTTGCGACGACAAGTTGTGCCGTCGCAAAAAGTTCCGTCTTTTAAGCCCACTTTTCTAATAGTATTCGTATGGCTAAAATTTCACTCCCGCACCAATAAATTTCATCGTTACAATGCCAAATAATTTTTTTCACATCATTTGTCATGCCATTATGTTGGCAATTAGCAATAAAACGACTGCCATAACATTGACAATTTTTAGATATGGAATATGATCCATTCCATTGATAATTTGTATCTATTGAAACACTGCCACTCCATTGATCATTCATATCCATAGGTACACAAGATGTAAACATACCTGTTGAAAGCATGATTCCATATGGATAAGTCTGCTTCATTATCATTACTCCAAATTAGAAATGTCCCACTAGGTTTGCCAATTTATGATAGTAAAAATTTGATCTAAGCCTAGTCAATAGTGACAAACTTAAATTGATTTTCACACACACACACAAAAAAGATCAAACTTTGTGATTGAATTTCATTGAGTTTCATGCCTTAAACAGATTAAGAATTTTCTTGGAGGTAATTAAATGAAGAAATACAGATCAGAACAAAATATGTATTATTCAAATAAATTATCACTTGCTACAAGTTGCATGAACTTAAACAAGAACAAAGAATTGAAAAATATAACAATCAACAGAAGAAAATAATGGGGGTCGGAAAAAGCTATCACTAATCTACTCCTAAAATTGCCAACTTAACTACTCCTAATTAGATATCACTATTCGTGAGTTGTTTGAAGTGTTCATTTCCTTTGTATCTCTTTTGGCCTTTTTATAGGCTCAGGCACGTGAAAGAAAAAAGAAAATCAAATCCCATGATTTCCTCAACAGATCATGATTTATACATCATCCATATCTCATGTTCATAGTAGCCACTTTGCAGATTTGGTGCTTAACTTGATCTTGGCTTCTTGATCTCAGCAACTAACTTGCTGCAATGGCTAACTTTCTTGTCCTTCATTTAACATGTCATTATACCACGTCCTTAACATATCTGTTATACCATATCAACATGCATGTCGACAGAAATAATAATAACAAATGTGGCCAAGGTTAAAAATAGTCTAGGATTTCAATCGACAAACCATAATCGAATTTCATAATTAATAAATCACAATTGAAAAAAATATGTGGTACCAACAGTATGGTGCACACCTTTGAAGGGTGTCCACCATAGTCTTTTCCTTGCTGATAGTTATGCTGAGAACAAGAACAACTTAACTCACATAAAAGTCAAAAATGATTTTTTTAAAGTTATTTTTAATTTGGATAAATTACAAATATGCATATAAAGTATACTTAAAATATGGATTACTTCCTATAATTTAAAAAATTACAAATATTTTCTTCTAAGAATTTTTTATTTAACAAAATTAATTTGAAATATAAAATTCCTAACTGCTCTATTATACAATAACAAAATTACCTGAATTATTAATTAAAATATATTTTTGATATCATTGAAAACTGTTAATTGATTTAATAATTTATTGATAAAATATGACATTTATTATGAAATTAGAAACTTTAGAGGGCGAGATGTAATTTCTAAAATCACAAGAAACAATTTGAAACAAATCTCATGAGGTGTATTTGTGATTTATAATTTTAATTTATTATAGTGTGTAAAAAATTATATTTTGGTTATATCATTTTAATAATGACTTATCATTTTAGCACAATTAGATTTTGGAAAATGTTTGAGGGTCACAATTTTTGTGGCCACAATGGCTCAAAACTGTCAAAACGACGTCGTTTTGGCATGGCTCAAAACGACGTCGTTTTGGCATGGCTCAAAACTGTCAAAACAATGTCGTTTTGGGTGCAAACATGCCAAAACGACGTCGTTTTGACAGTTTTGAGCCATTGTGACCACAAAAATTGTGACCCTCTAGCATTGTTGTTAAATTTTATATCACTATTATCTTAAGCAATTTGTGCATACTTCACTTTAGATCAATCCTTTCTTTCACTGCTCCAAATGAATATTAACTTTTGAATTTTTGAATTTCTTATTTTTTGAAAATGAATGAATTGTTATTATTGGTGCAATTTAGCACATACAATTATAATTTATTTAGTATTGTTATGTTTTTGTAATTTGTAAAATTTCTGGTTATGAATTTTGATTTGTGCGAGTTGTGAATTTTGATAATAAAAAAAAAATAGATTTTTTTATTATAGAATATCTAATGTGATAAAAAATGACTTTCTGAATTAAATTTAGCAGAAGATTAGACATTATTATTTTTCGACAATAAATTTAGCCCACAGGGAGTTTTTGTAAGGTCTATCTATTTTTTAACTCTGACAAGTCTTTTGGCGTGATCGTTGGAATTGTTCTAACATTATCTTTTGATAAAAATTTATTGACCATCCATTAGGCATTTGTTAATATTTTAGTAATGTCAAAAAGATTAAAATTTTAATGCACATTTTATATATTTTTAAACATTTATTTGTAAATTTGTATATTTTAGCAAGTCGTGATTTTAGTCAAAAAATTAAAAAGTTACTAAAAAAAATCAAAAAATCAATAACTTATACAAAAAAGTTAAAGATTCTATTTTTTATCTACTTTTTGCACATCTTTTTGTAAAAAATTAAAAAATCATTCCAAACATACTAATTTTTTTTACATCATATTTTAACTAAAAAGTTAAAAAATTACTAAAAAAATCTATTTTCAAACGAGGCCTAATTGAGAAATAATTTCATTTTTATAATGATACAACCCTATTGCGTGTATGATGCAATTCATGGTGGTGTAAGTCTATTAAGTGTATGGTGCAAGTCCATTCATATGTTCAATGTAAGTCAATTCATGGTGATACAATACAAGTCTATTGCATGAAT